ATTTATTAAAGATTTGATTGAGTTTATGAAGGGTTTGATTGAAAGAAAATTGGATTTTGAAGTCAATTTCTTTATGCAATAAACTTTGAGCCTTGTGAGTTTTCTTTTTACCCTGAACGCGCGAAGCAAAGGAAGAAGAAGATTTTTCTTTCTTTGTTTTCCACCACCTTTTCTTTCAAAAAGACATCAACCAAGAACCTCCACTTGCCCGAAGCTTTCTACGTGTTGGAGAAAAGGGAGGAGATGTGTCCTTTGAATGGTGGAGGGGAGGCTGTATAGTGGCCACCCCATCCATATCTTTCCCTTATTTTTTCCTATAAATATATGGTAGATGAGGATAAAAGGAGAGAGGATAAGAGGGGCTAGAAGAATAAAAGAAAAAAAAAAAGAAGACCTAAAGAGGAAGAAAGAAAGGAAGAATAGAAAAAAAAAACAGAGAGAAAGAAAACAGGAGGAAGAAACAGGGAGAACCGTCCACCGCCATCGATAACAGTGCCGCTTGGAACCATTACCACTGCGCTGCCCCGACCCCCCCCACAATAACCACTGCAGGTCATTTCCCCAGCCTCTCTATTTTTCCTTCTCCTTCTTCTCTATTTCGTCTCCCTTTGCTTTCATTTACATGTAGAATGTAAGCAATTCATGTTCTGTAGCAAAATAAAAATAATTAGCAGGTTACTGTGCTATGCACAGTAACCATCTAATTATAATTTTTGGGCCAGTGATGGCCCATTTTTATGTTAGGCCGGTGCTAGCCCATTTTCTTTATGTTGAGTCGGTGTTGACCCATTTGTATTTTGGGTCAATACTGGCTCATTCCAATTAAAAATATTTAAAAAAACATTAATGATTTTCTCATATTTTTATTTGTATTTTGGGTCAATACTGGCTCATTTCAATTAAAAATATTTAAAAAACAATTAGTGATTTTATCATGTTTTTTTTATCCATTTTGGTTAATATCGATTTATATTTTTGCTCCGTAAAGATACAAAGCTGGTATTAAAATCCTCGTTTTTCATCAAAACTTCTAAAATAATTTTTTTAAAATTTTTTTGTGTGGATACGGCCAAGTAACTTAAAGCTAAAAAATCATATTGTGTTTTTCATACATAAAAAAATATATTTTAGTATGTATTTTGGCTTTAATAATCAATTTATTAAAGCTATGAGAACTTTGACCAAAATTTCAAAAATAACAAAAATTTTATTTTGTTTGTGTTTTAGTATCCAGGGTACGACATTACATGTAATATGTATTTTGAATATTAATTTTTTTGGATGTCAGAATGGTTAGATTTTACCCCATTAAAAGTAAGAACCTCTTTATTGAGGAGGGTTTTTCTTGAATCTTAGACTGACAGGACCAACAATTAGAAAATGCGACCAAACCTTATATTTTGATAAGACAAATAAAACAATGTAGCTTACCTTAAGTATGGTGTATTTGGGATACTAATACCTTCCTTTTACGCAACCAGTCTCTATACCTAATCTTTGAGACCAATTAGGGTTCCTAGTGACCAAAATACTAGGTAGCGACTTCCATTCTATTTTTACTGATAAGAGACAAGAATTCCATGTCTCTCCACATTTGCTAGATAGACTTTTACATTTTTCTAGAGGGTGGATGGTTCACTGTGACGTCGCACACGTGTTATAGTAGCCATGCCATGTGTAAGATCATCCTCATAACTTTCAAGGGGTTGATATGTGTAAACAACTTGCAGTGAAGCTCTATTACAAGCTCTAGTGATCACTGTCCTAAACTAGTAACATGATTCAGTATAAAAATCTTAGCATGGAAGAGTTCCACTGAACTCTTTAGGGTCACTTAGAAAAATGACAAGTCCACATGAGTATACCTAAAAAGGTTTAATGAGAAAATACTCAAGGTTAAATAACTAATTGAGCTTGTGACTTTTGAAGCGCTAATTAGTGGAGTGAAGGGAAAAGCTCTATGAAAATAATTGTATGCTTTATCAAACAAAAGGTTGTTGAAAGTGAAGCAAGCTATGAAAAATTATATTTTGGTAGGTGACTTTAAGAAGGTGAAGGAGTGGCCATAATATGAGAGAATCAAGTAACTTCAAGAAAATATACCTCTACTTATTGAAGAATTGAGGGATGTCCCTTTTGAAAAAGATGAATATATCGCCATGAAAGTGGGCTTCACCATGACACTAGCATACTAACAATCATTGGTAGAGCTCCTTCATATCTAAAGGTTCAATTTTGCAACATATAATTTTGACATACCATGAATTAGTTCTGAAATTGCAACTCACCATTTAAAGGTGGTTCCAACTGTTCATCAAGTTTGTTAGAAGAAGAGGAATTCTAAGGATGAATGATGAAAAACAATAAAATAAAAGATAGATAAGCTCATGGCTTCTGCCTATGTTAGGAAAATAATGCAACCCACCTAGTTAGCGAATGTGGTGATGGTTAAGAAAAAAACAAGTGGCAGATGTTTGTTGACTTTACAGATTTGAACAAAGTTTGTCCAAAATATAATTATCTTCTCCCCAAGATTGACTATTTGGTTAATCACACTGCATATTTTAAATATTTGAGCTTCTTAGATGCTAATTTTAGGTATTATCAAATTCCTATGCACCATGATGACGAGGAAAAAAAAACAACCTCTATAATTAAAAATGGAACTTATTGTTATAGAGCAATGCCATTTAGACTGAAGAATAGTAAAGCTATTTACCAATAAATAGTTAATTAGATATTCAAGAATTGACTTGGAAAATATATGGAGGGATATGTTGATGATATATTAGTAAATAACATGACCTTTGAGCAATATCTCTTAAAACTAGAAGTTTTCTCTGTATTAAGCCATAACTAGATGAAACTTAATCCTTCTAAGCATGTCTTTGCCATTAAAGGAGAAAAATTTGTTGATTTTCTAGTGAGCTCTAAGGGAATTGAGTCAAATCCAAAAAAAAAAAATTAATCCTACTAAATATGACTCTTCTTGGATTGTGAAGGAAGTTCAAAATCTTACAAGGAGATTGACTGCCCTCAATCGATTCATAGCTTGACCGAGGGAGTGCACCTTGCAATTCTTCAAGACCTTGAGAAACATAACCAACTTTTAGTGGATTGTAGATTGTAAGGAAGTTTTTAATGAGGTCAAGATTCATCTTCCATCTTTTAAGATCTTGTCTCTAACTAAGAAAAAATGAAAGAGGTGGCGAATTCAACAATAAATGATGTTATGGTAAGGAAGGATGAAGGCACGTAACATCCAATTTATTATTCTAGCTAAACTTTTTATCATTTATATTTTTTTTATGTAACCATTTATTTTATTTATATTTTGGGATTATTACTTAAAGTTTTTAATAATCAAAATATTAGGTAATTATTTTATCTATTTTTTACCAATAAAAATAAAGAATTTTATATTTTTTTCTTTCACATCATTACAAAGATCCGATTTAAAAGGTATAACTACAGTAAAAAGATTGATGTTTTTTACTCCAGTATATCTCAATTATATACGACTTCGAGTCCACAGTGATATAATTTTTTTTCCTGAATTTCACAACTGTTATTTTCTTTATTTATAATAATACATTCATGAATCGACAAAAAGTACACATGCTAGGTCTTTCTCTATTTACAATTTGCCCACCACCAACCCCCGAGAAAGGAAACCACCATCCATCGTTATTTTATTATACAAATCATTAAGATATTTATTTATTTATCCTTTAGTAGCTGTTATCATCCATGAACAGTGATATAATTTTTTTTCCTGAATTTCACAACTGTTATTTTCTTTATTTATAATAATACATTCATGAATCGACAAAAAGTACACATGCTAGGTCTTTCTCTATTTACAATTTGCCCACCACCAACCCCCAAGGAAAGGAAACCACCATCCATCGTTATTTTATTATACAAATTATTAAGGTATTTATTTATTTATTTAGCCTTTAGTAGCTGTTATCATCCATGAACGTCATCTTTTCTTTTGGTTTTTGAAAATCTTTTACCGTTTTATTAAACAAATTAAGTAACTCATCGATCTGTAATTTAGCTCTTATTAAATTAGATCATCATTTTTTTTATTATAAAAAAGATCGTAATTTAGGTTAGGTTAGGTTTAGTAACCCAAGCCTTTTACGGACAAAGTACGAGGCAATGAAAATAGCTGGTTAGGAAGTAAGAGAGAAGTACAATTATTGGAGTTAATGGTACACGTGGTATTTAAACAAAAGGATCATGACTCATGATATTGACGACGGCGACAAGGGCGGCGTTTATCGCGTCCCTTTCCCAAGAGTTTCGCTTGACCGGTGATACCGGTGAGGAAGGACAGAGTACGTGTCATTATCAGTAATTTCCACAGATTGCAAGCAAGCCCTTCTCGCTCGTGACTCTCCAGTAACTTTCCTCCTATCTTCATAATACGAGGTGGTAAAATATTATTGTGCTTTTAAATAAATAAATAAATAAAAACATTTGATTTTGCCCTAATCTAAATACACTGGCAGGTGTATAAAAGATTTCTATACATTAAAAACCAACATAAAATAGAAACCATATATTTCCATGCATGTAATTTAAAAAAGTCTTCAACCAAGAGCTTCAAATCAAATTTTCCTGTAATACGTTTATTATTTATTATTTAATCAATTGAAATTTTATATCATAATTGAACAATTTTAGAAAGCAAATTAAACACAAAGTAAATTTAGGGTTTTCCCTTTTTTTATAAAAAAAACAATATATATATATATGGACTCCACGTTCGTAAAAAAAAAAATATATATATATATATATATATATATATATATATATATATGGACTCCACATTCGTTTCTTCTTCTTCTTTTTAAACAGTATAAAACCAACATTTACATATTGGAATTGCCAAGAGGTACGCACCCAAAACACGAAAAATACTACTAATCTTTCACACACACTTATATATATATATATATATATATATATATGTTAACATCACTAACTTCTTTTGCTTTCCGCCCATCCTGTTCATTCCAATCTCTCTCTAGATCACTTATTTCTTTTGATCTGTATAAACACAAACTACAATGAGTGCACAACACCGGCCTCTTGGCACAAAGGCTCAGATGTTTACAACTTTGTGACATAAAGAGAGAGTTATGATTTTTGATCACTACTATACATATTGACATATATTTTGTTGTTGTCTTCACTAGTATTCTATGATGAATCGTCCCATTGGAGATCTCTGTGGAACTCCCTTTCTTCTCTTGGTAGTCCTATAATTCACCGCAGTTGGCGGTGGGGTTGAGGGTGTAAAGCTTTGTGCTTTGCTTTTAGCACTTTCGTTGCTAGTGCCAGCCATTGATTTTTCAGTGTCTGGACCATCCATCTCCTTGTACCTTTTCTTCTTCCTGAAATTCTCTGATGTCCCAACAATCTGGAATTTTTATAATTTACGGAACTATGCAATTAAAATCAGCAGCACAACAATGAACATTAGAAGAAGAATACCAGAAGGACCTTTTTAAAAGGAAAAGCTAGACTGTTCAAGGCTTATTTGAGTTACTCATCAACAAAATAAACGAATGCTCCACATATAAATAAACAGTGGTAGCTTAAATGCTTAGCCATTCTCCTAAAAAACAAAGAAAAAAAAGAAAAGTTTTTATCTTTTCCCAAAACTAAAGAATTTGATTAAAATTTGGTTGAAAGAAATAATATATAAGAAATTGTTTCTCTCAATAATAAATGCATGCTCTCATTTTCAGTTGAAAACAAATAAAAACACGGGTGGGATATATATATATATATATATATGCGCATTACCTTGCAAGCAAGAGAGCAGAAACTGAATGAATCAAGGAGGCTGCGCTCACAGACATGGCAAGTTTTGGTAACACCTTTACCAGGTCTAGGCTGAGGCCTCTCATTCAAGAACACAATCTTTGCACTGTTGATGATGTAGGTCTGGACCTCTGTTATGTCCAAGTATTTCTGAATTTCAGACACCCTAATCACATCATGGTAAGATGACCTCCTTATCTACAACAACAGAGTGACTCGATTAAACTATAACAGAGAAATCATGCGCCAGTTGCCTTTTTCGAAAAAAAAAAAACAACAAAAGGGCCATGGATTTGGGATTGAACCACCAAAGATCAGGCTGATGTCATTCATGAAAACAACACAAAATCCTTTACTCTTGCACATAGATACCTGAATAGCTCTATGGTCTTTGTGGTGTGAGAGACAAACAGAACAAAGGGCACCGTTCATGCAATCCAAGCAATACATATTGCATTCACTCTTGTGAGCATCAGCATGAAGCTTGCATTGAACAAAGAAGCTTGTTTCAAGAAGTGGATGCAGCCATGGTGGCCACTTGATATCTTCTTTATGATCATCAGCATAATCTGCACTACCACCTCCCTGTAAAAATACTCAACACAAAATTAACACACAAACAATAGATATATCATTGCAATCAAGAAATAAAACACAAAACATATTAAGAGCAACCAAGAAAGATTACAAATGTGAGCTAAATAATTACAACTACCATGATTCTTCTGATGTTGGGTTTGATTTCTCTCACAGTGGTGCTTTCTTGGTCATTAATGATCATCTAAAGGCAATCTTGAAGAAGGAAAAGAGAGCCTTTTCTTACAGAAAAGATAGATGGGGAAAGGAGGTGGGGTATTTGCTTGAAGTGGGTGGGTGGTTGATGGATGGGGTGTTGGAGGTGATTATCTTTGGCTTAAAAGTCTACCACCGAACCTGTATATCCGAACCTAAGCCAAAAACTAGATGCGTTAGGTCCAAGGAAATAACCATTAATTCTTCCCCTTTTCTTTTCTAGTTCCTCCTCTCTAATTATCTTCCTATATTGTTCTTCGTTGGACTTTGTGATTTGAAAATTAAGCTTCTTGTATTTTTGCCTGGACGTTATAGTTTTTGGCAACACTTGACGGAGGTGTGTGTTCTCGTCTTTGAAAGGTACGTGGAAGGTGGTGGTCTTTACACATGGAGAAGTTGGTGATTCAGCAAAACTAGAAAGATGCTAAACAATTGTATGTGTTGGACACTCATTTTCTAAGTACTTACATCTTAGAAGACTCATGAATGTCTAAAAACATTCATGCCCAAGGAAATAACCTATGATAACAACCAAAAATTAATTGGTTAGTTTATCCTAGGTGAATGTCTAAAAAAATAATTTCAACGTGAAAGTCATCAATCTAAAATAACATTTGAAATTAGTTTATATATTCAAGGTAGGTTTATAAAAGTGTATTTTTAATATAAAAGTCATTAACATTAAAATAATAACAAAAAAAATAATTTATTTATCTTAAGTGAACTTATAAAGATAAATTTTTAACATAAAAGCCACTAACCTAAAATAAATATCCAAAAAAGTTTATTTATCCTTGATGGACTTGTAAAAATATATTTTTAAAGTTATTTATCAACCTAAAACAACGATCAAAATTAATTTATTTATTCTAGATGGACTTGTAAAAATTGACAGGGTAATTTGTATTCTGCATGGTGGTGAGGTGGGACTTTGGTAGTTCCATCTTACGTGCAATAAGGGGACTTTATGGATGATGTTAGGCACAACATAAAAAGAAATTTGATGGATTCGTTTGCTGATTAGCTACCCCAAGTAGTTGGAATTGTACGTATACTTTTTCCAATTCAATCCTCTAATTACCTCGACGCTATCTCATTATTATGAATGGATACAAAGATGCTGCCTTCATGCTTCGTAGAGGAAAAATGCTAATGCTTTATAATTAACCAGGCTTGAGGTACAGTAAGAACAACTACCATTCAGAGCTACTGCATGTACCTTGATCGATCGATATTTACTTGTCATGGATATATTTGAAGGGGATGATGGTTCCTGAAGTCACTGAAACGTGCACGATTCACACCTTTTTTCCCCCCTTCAAAACTGGTCTAACGAGCACAACAAGCTTTGGGGAGAGTCCACAAGCTATATATATCTTGAGAGAGAAGCGTTGAAAAGCCTCATCTTCAAGTGTGATATATAGTGGGAAAGCTTCTAGCTCGAACAGGCACCCTCTTGGGTTCAAGATTCACATTTAAATTCAAGAGTCTTTCATGGACTCAAAATTTCTATTCCTATGTCCTTCATGGTTCAACATTTGAAAATGAAACCTCCCGTTGCATGGACGGCACCTTATATTTCTCTTTCCAAGTAAATGAAGGAAACTGATGGAGAAGTTAGAAAGTCCTTATCCCATTTATGAACAATCACATTAATTAGAGAGAATTATAGCTCTAATAAAGTAGGGAGTTTACAAAAAGGTAGAAGAAACTCGCACAAAGAGAGGGCCAAGATTTTTCCTTGGGCTCCTCGTGATCTCCATTTCCTGAGGGTCTCTTTGCACACACTCCACATTTTATAAAGGCTTCCCTCCATCTTATCGACACTAACTTAGGACTCGGAGGATCATATAAATTCATCAGAGGATCATGTTTTGCAGGTGATTAGAGGTCCAGTTTTTCCATGTTACTTGATAGTTTTTCCCCGCTCGTATTGATTTGACCATGTTATTCCTGCCCTAGCTCAATGGTTCATGGTAATAGTCCATTATAGCTCAGCAGCCCAAGAGACATCAAGCATGAGAATTAAACATGACCTTTTTAGGTGGCGTTGTCTTCTAGATCGATCAACAAGAAAAAGCCTCTCTCCATTTATCATGTTTCCATTTTGTATATGTTATGCTCATCTATTTTCGTCATGATTCTTATATTATAAGACAAGCATGCAGATGTAACATGAACAAGAACACTTAAACACCTATTAAAATTTTATCACTACTATTTATTGTCATCCTTAATTAACCATAATATGCCTGCATGCCACTTGATCCACTTGTGCGACCGTTTTGATATACAAATTTATATTTCTTTTGGCTCGTATCCATGAAGCCCCATGTATTTTCTGAGAAAGCATCAATTTGTTTCCTGTTAATATTTTATAACTATGGTAAAATAAAATAAAATCATATGCACTATCATAAACACCTCTATCGTAAAAATACATGACAACCTTATACGGAGAGGATTGTTACTCGATTAGCTCATTGTACCCGAGCAAATAAATTTCCAACCCCACCAACCTACCAAAACCAAAAACATCTTGTAGGCCTATTGTAAAATTATGAGCCCAATATGTGGAAAAAAAGACTTAATATCCAACTATAAATATTAAGTTTTTTTTTATCATATATTAAGTTTTTATCAATTATTCTAACTTCAATATCTTGAGTTAGAAAAATTCATTTATTACAAACTTAAATTTTTTAAATTCTTAGCTCAAAGACCTATCAACCTACTAAATGTAAGCACAAAAAACAAAATATGATTTTTATAAGATAATTTATACATTTTATCAGTATACAAGTTTAGTGAAGATACAAATCCAACTTATTACCCAAGCATTCAAACTAGTATGACATTTGTTTTCTTCATATGGAAAGGGTCTTTACATAGGTAAATTAACTTCCTTAAGTTTGATTTTATCTCTCTTTTCTCGAGGAGAAGCAAGAACTAAGTATATCCTTAAGTTTGATTTTATCTCTCTTTTCTTGAGGAGAAGCAAGAACTAAGTATAAGGATATTTGATGTAACCATATTATTCAATAGTTTTACCCATATTTATATAGTATTTTGCCTATGTTTTATATATAAAATGTCTTCATATTTTTTATTTTATGTTTTGAAGGTACTTTTAAATGTAACATTTCAAAAGGAGTAATTTGAAGATAAAATTCAAACCATATTCCAACTCAAGTCGAATATTGATAGATTTGAACTTTGATAGATGTTTTATGCAAAACTTGAGCTGTAAAGATCGAAATCAAGTAATTTTAGCGAAATTAGAAAGCTAACATCTATATCTTTCTCTCCATATATGTAAAGAAAAAAAATAAAAAGTATGGAAATTAGAGCTTTCAAAGACAAGTCTTGCATTTTGCCAATTTTTTAACCTTCGACTATTCTGACTTGAATATCTTGAGCTAGAGAAGTCTGTTTGTTACAAACTCAAGTTTGTTGAGTTCTCTTGACTCAAAGACCTATCAACCTACCGAATGTCAATATAAAAATAGCTCATATAAGAGATATATGATTTTTCTAAGACAACCTAGAAATTCTACTAATACACAGGTTTTGTGAAGAAACTAGTCCAACTTACTTTCTAAGCATCCAAACTAACATGAAATTTTTTTTTTCATATGGAAAAGGTCCTTACACGGGCAATTTAACTTCACTAAGTCCAAATTTAAAATTTAAAAATTTCATGCAAGACTATTTTTTCATATTTATAGGATAGTAATTATTCTACTCCTTAAATATAGATTGTCTATTTTGAAAATAACTTATTTTTTTCTTTCTTGATAAAAACAAACTAGTAGGAAGGTGGATATTAGGTTTTTTTATCTGATAAAAAAGTAAGAGAGAGAGAGAGAGGTGAAGAAGGAGGCGACCTGAAAGAAGAAAAAAACTCTCACTTTTTTTTTTTCTACATCTGAAATTATGTTTTCATCTTTTCTTTTCCTTAGTTTCTCAATAGTCATGTAAACTAAGTTATTTTTCTAGGTTCAAAGGATATAAACTACAAAGCTTTCAGATTTTAAAAACTGTGAGATTTATTTTATCTTTTCTTTTTAGTTTATATAATGAGTATAAATGTTTCTTTTTATATTTATTTCTTATGATTGTCTAGTTTGATTGTCGGAGCGGACTCTAAGTTATTATTCTAACCAATCTATTGCTAAGTTTGCTATTAAAACCGAAGTTATGATATTTAACTCTTGAAGCGATTAAGTTTAATAGTTATAGTGGATCTATGTTATTTATATTAGAGAAAATATTTAATTACAATCAAACATAGACTGCAGACAGTTATATTGTTTAGATTTATCAACTTATCTAATTCTTAAAGCTACCATTAAATTAAATACTAGCGTAGATGTTGTAGTTGCTTAATGGTTAATGTTAAGGTTAGTTATTGCGGATCAGTTAACTAACTAATATTAAAGAAAAATAATTATTCAGAACATAAATTTCTATATCGTTTCAATAATTAAACTGAAAAGCTAATTTAAGCTAAAAAAATCAAAATTTAAAAGAACATAATTTACATTGTGTTTCTAAACACATTCATAGTAAAGGTTTTTCAAAATACTTTGCATTTGAAAATATATTAAAATAATATTTTTTATTTTTAAAAATTATTTTTGACTTAATATCAAGGAAAACCACACTGCCAACTCATGTAAGTTATTACTGCAGGATTCATGACAGTATTCAGGAAGCTCACATTGCCAACTCATGTAATTTATTATTACATGATCAACTTATGCAACAATAGGATTCATAACAGTGCAAATCACTATAAGCTACAATCAATGATTAGTTATTGTAAGCTAGGATTAGTCTCTTGTATTTTCCTTTATTATTATAGCTAGAATCACGGATCAGCTAGAATCAGGGATCCGTTTTGTATCCTTTCCTTTACAAGCTTTCCATACTCAGCACTTTGTATTTTGTATATAATAAGTTTTGAAGATTAAATAAAGTGTGCAAAATTTAAAACATTATTTTCTCATTTATGGTATCAGAGCTTATAATCTCTAAAGAGTATCAGTCCTAAACCTTCACCATGTCTTCTTTCGCATCTATCAATTTACCTCCTGACCATATCATCACTATTAATTTTGCTATTGCCATCAATGAAAAACTTACAACCTCCACCTTTCCACAATAGAGAGCACAGTTTGAAGCCTTACTTATTGGCTATAATCTCATGAATTTTTTTACTGGTGATATTTAGTGTCCTGCAATTGATGCTAAAAATT